CCCCAAAACCCCAAAACCCCAAAACCCCAAAACCCCATTTAAGATTAGAAGTGAAAATTATTAAATATGCAAAAGTGGAAGAAAATTGGGAGTGGAGATTTGGAAGGAGAGGAGGTGTATAAGTTCTCAGTACATTGACTTACGTTATTGGGGATACTTATACTGCTGATAATTAGGTTTGGAACTTATGATTATGGAAATTATTTTGTGATTTACTACTACATGTATCATCTTTATGTTTGGATGTCAATGATCCCAAATATATTTTATCTTACAGCCCCTGAATATTGGAGAGATGTAATGGGTAAGTGTGGTGTTTGAGACTCTTTAAATTGTACATAAATCAAATCTTAAGATTCAATTTAGACAAAAACAGGGCACCAAACGGAGGAACTAGATGTGAATTTGGATTATGAATTTATCTTTATGCGTTCATGTTTGGATTCCAAGGAATGATTAATTACTATGCAATAAGACCCAACTGGAGGAATAAATTTCTTTGCTTTGTAATAACAGTTGTAGCCCCATTATATCACTTGTTTCTACTAATAGTTGTGTCATTCATTTTCGATCCAGACCATGCCAAAGCTGCATTCATTGTTTTAGGAGTTCTGTATTCCTATTTTTATGTCTGGTATACAATTCTCACATACGTCGGGATGAACTCGAAAGCTGAGACAATTATGTTTTGCTTAAATCCATTCCATTGGATTTCGCTTCTGTTAGGCCTTGTCACCTTTCCTATTGCTCAGTTTGCTAGACAGAAAGGAAAGGAGTGGTGGGAAGAAGTAAAGATTGCTGAAAGAAGAAGAAAAGGAGGTTTGCTTATCATCTCTAATCTATAGACCTCATTTTTAACCCTGATCTTGTAAACAAGATAGAAAAAATCAAATCAAGTATCAATAGAGATAAAGATCACGAAGAACATATCATTAGAAATTTCAATCAAAAACTCCAGGACAACATCAAACCAGACATTCTCGACATTGATAAAGAGTATGACACTGACTGCATTTCCTGAAATAACCCAATAAGAGCTACCCACTTCTTTACCATCAACGATTCAGGCGAACTAGTTCATTTCGGTTGTCCCTAGCTAAACTAATTCCTTAGTTCAACACCTCGCCCCTCCTCCGGGGTTTTGGGGTTTTGGGGTTTTGGGGTTTTGGGG